ATAAACGAAGGTTTTTACGTAATGAAATCGGGCAAAGCTTGCGTAAGGACCGAGAAGCCTGGTGGTCGATGCGTGCTAATGAGCTGGAAGCAGCAGCTGCATCTGGTAACTACCGGAAGCTCTTCCAACTCATCCGAGCCACTGGCAGCAAGAAGTCTGGTGTGAGTGAAACAATCTGCGAGGATGATGGGATGCCAATCACTAACATCCATCGACGTCTTGGACGATGGGCAGAATTTTTCGAAGGGCAGTTCAACTGGCCTGCTGCTCCGGCAACATCGGTCAGACTGTCCTGCCCTCCATGGCCGGTGACGACTGATCCACCAAATGAGGAGGAAGTCCGCAAGGAACTCCAACTCTTGAAGCGTTACAAATCACCTGGCCCAGATGACTTACCTCCGGCTCTTTTTAAAGATGGTGGTGACTTTTTGACTAAGGAATTGACGACGTTGTTTACAAAGGTTTGGGATCTAGAGAGTGTACCAACGTCATGGAATGAGTCGATAGTTGTCCCTATCTTTAAAAAGGGTTCACGTCGTTCTTGTAACAACTATCGGGGGATAAGTTTACTTCCGATTGCGTCCAAGCTATTGGCTTCCGTCATTCTTCGTAGGTTGTTCAAAACCCGAGAAAGATTGACTCGCGAGGAGCAGGCTGGGTTTCGTTCTGGTCGAGGATGTATTGATCATATCTTCACCCTCCGCCAAATGTTAGAACACCGCCATACTTTTCAAAGGCCAACAATCGTAGTGTTTCTTGACATCAGGGCTGCCTTCGATTCGTTGGATAGGACTGTTCTCTGGGATTGTCTATTGAAGAAGGGTGTGCCTGAGAAGTTTATTAACATCCTAAAAGCCCTGTATAAAAACACCTCAGGCAGAGTGAGGGCATACAACCACCTCTCTCCATTGTTCCATTCGAGCAGTGGGGTTAGGCAGGGTTGCCCAATCTCACCATTCCTCTTCAACTTTGCCATCGATGACATTCTGGAAACAGCTCTGATGAATGTAAGTAATGGTGGTGTGGATCTGTTGCCTGGAGAAAGACTTCTCGACCTTGAGTATGCGGACGATATTGTCTTACTGTGCGATAATGCCCAAGGCATGCAATCCGCACTTAATCAGTTGGCAATCAATGTCCGTAGGTATGGTATGTGCTTTGCACCTTCGAAGTGCAAAGTACTTCTACAAGACTGGCAGGATTCTAATCCTGTACTCACCCTGGACGGTGAGCAGATAGACGTAGTTGAGAAGTTCGTGTATCTGGGTAGCTGCATAAGTGCTGGTGGGGGTGTGAGTGATGAGATCAATGCACGAATAGTGAAAGCCAGAGCGGCTTATGCCAATCTGGGTCATCTATGGCGCCTTCGTGATGTTAGTCTGGCGGTAAAAGGCCGGATCTACAACGCGTCGGTGAGAGCAGTTTTGCTCTATGCTTGTGAAACCTGGCCTCTCCGAGTTGAGGACGTTAGACGACTCTCTGTGTTCGATCATCGCTGTCTCCGAAGGATTGCTGACATTCAGTGGCAACACCATGTCAGTAATGCAGAGGTTCGGCATCGTGTGTTCGGGCACAGAGATGATAACTCAATTGGTGTCACCATCTTGAAACACCGACTTCGGTGGCTTGGACATGTTCTCCGAATGTCGTCCCAGAGAATTCCACGTCGTGCATTATTTGCCGACTCTGGGACTGGTTGGAAGAAGCGGAGAGGTGGTCAGTGCATGACATGGTGTCGTGGCATGAAAGAAAGCTGCAAAGGACTGGCTTGTGTTGGTCCTTCACGACTCCCTGGTTGGGGTCCGAGAGATGGTGCAACACAGTGGCTAGAGACGTTATCAGATATGGCTCAGAATAGAAGCCAGTGGCGATCCTGCTGTAACCTTCTTTTACTTTCTTCATAAAAAGTGGTTGTGTCTCATTTACGTGAAAGATTTCTTCTGATTGTACCTCTTCGTCATTACTCTCTTTTTCTTTTGCGTTCCTTAGTTTTTTTTTTTTTCTTTCTACTTCTCTTCGAATTCCCATTGTTTTGTGTGGCGCATATATATTGGCGCTCTCTTGTACCAATATTTATGTGTTCAAATAAATAAATAAATAAAATTGAAGGTATTTATAGTATTTCAGATAGGCCTGAGCTTCTGGAGATTATCGAACCCTAGGAAACATAGTAACAGGATAGTTAATCATCCAATCAGAAATGTGATACGTGCTTCTTAACTTTCTAGATGTTTCTGAAATGCTTCTATTCGATGCTGATTGAATAAAGTGCTTGCTAGCGTTTCCAGGGCTCCTTTAGATATTTTTCGAGGAATATCCTGAGTCTCCCAAACACCTTCCTCCTTTCAAAAATTAAACTTCTTTGGGTCTAATTGCAGCTTGATAACTGACTTCCGGCGGCGTTCCGATTTCCTTGGTGTCCTCTAAATACGAATGTCCCTGGGCGTTCCTGTCATTGGGTTATCTGCAAATATCTCCATTGGATGACTCACTCGTCTGTCTACAGTGTTCAACGTCCTTTTTTCTGTGTGGATTTGGTTGATGTATCTAATCCGCCTTCCAGTTGTCCCACGCATTTTGTACAAAACATTTCCCATTCTTTTTCCAATGTCTACAGGTTCCCATCGATTTTTTCCAAGGTATGACTTGATGACCATTATATCACTCACATTAAAACTTCAGATATTCTGATGTAACTTACATACGTTAACTGATTTAGGTGGTAACGTGGCGTCGAATAGGGTTCGAATACTTCTTTCGAACACAGCTTCATCAACAGACTCCCCATCTGGGACAATAGGGTTGGGCCCAGTTCTGTAAGCTGTTAAAAAGTTTGCAATTACCTGAATTGTCCCATCGTCTCTCTTTCAGTAATGCTCTTTTGAATGTATCGATAAAGCTTTCTGACTGTCCATTTGACTGAAGGTGATAAGGTGGAGAGTGTATATGTGTAATTCCGCTAATGATGCAGAAGTACTTGAATGATTCTGAAGTGAATTGTGACTCGTTGTCGGTTACCAAAGTCTTCGGAACTCCAAGACAGTTAAGCAATTCAAATAATTTGCTGATCGTTTCATTGGCTGTGCAATTTACCATAGTATAGATTTGTGGCTATTTCGTAGGTACATCTGCTATGACTAAAAACTATTTTCCTCCCACTGGGCTGACAAGATCTGCATTTAGCCTCTCCCAGGGACTACTGCACTTTTTTGTTGTTGTGGTTCACATTTATTTGGACTTTTGGTTGCTTGCAAGTGTGATGAACAATCGCGGTATTCGATATCTTGAGCCAGTAAGCAAATCTTCGAGCCAATAATTTCTTGTTGATGCCGGAATGTACATTGTGGAATCGACGTTATTTTTTTAGACAACGATTTCGTCAGTGGGCATAATAAATAAGTCAAAAATCATGAATGTGTCCCGCCGGCGAAAATACTGTAGCAGTTCTCTTTGAAAACGACTGTTTGACTACTTGGTGAGGAGATAACCCGTAACTTCTCTTAATGTCTTGTCATCATCCGTGGCTTCTTTGATAGCTTTGGAAGTAACTGGTAAACCATCGACTGTGTCTTACAATACTCAGTGTACTTCTGTTTCCATCTCAATTGCTGCCACAAAAGTATCTTCCTATTTTACTTGTGAACCAATCAGTCTAGACAAAGCGTCAGCCTGTTCAAAATCAGTAGTGGGCTGATACTTGAAGTCATAACTCAAGAGTGTGGTTTCTTATCGTTGCAGTCTGTTTGCTTCATATACCGGAATCCCTTTCTCCGATCCAAATATGGTCAGCAATTGCTTATGATCAGTTAAGAAAGTGAACTGATGTCCAAATGTCATCTTGTGAAACTTTATGGCGAAGATACTTGACAATGCTTCCTTCTCTATCCGGCTGCAGTTACGTCCTGTTGTAGTTGTATTTAACGACACAGCTGCATGTGATATTACTTTCACAGATCCATCGGGCATGATGTAAAACGTAATTGCCCCAATGTCGTAGTTCGAAGCGTCTGATGCTACCGCAATTGGTAAGGATGTATCGTATTGGGCGAGCAACAGATCTGAGACTAGTAGTTTTTTAATTTTCTCAAAAGCACCTTGACAAATTTTCGACCAATCCAATTTTATGTTCTTCGACAGGGTCTTATTTAACGGGGCACGTAGGCGATGAAGGCTAGGAATAGATGCACCATAATAGGTCCCATAGAGCATCGTAGTGCGAGGACATCCGTCGGTCTAGACATAGCTTCCACTCTCTGGGTCTACCCAGCAATTCCTCAACCAAATCCTCCCTTTTTATGGGTATTATAATAAACATTTAATTGACAGGATAAAATGACACCTTGATTGTTGGGAGAAGGGTCTAGGTGAATAGTGGTTGGAGACAGGGAGATTAATTAGCTAACCTTTCTTCACAATCATTAAACTTGTTCAAGTAATTAAATGAAAGGTTACTAATATCTGCGTGTAGTCAGTTTGAATTACATAAGAGATATAAAATTAATATCGTTTTTCTAGTAATAGGATCGACGTGTAAATCTCTATTTAGCCACCTGTCTCGGTAATTGGTTAACACGTTTCCTATATGTATCAATGATTTCGTTGATAAATCAATCATTAAAAAGGACATTTAGAAAACTGTCGATACACACATACAAACATTTGTGTAATCATATTCATAAAATATTTAGTTTTCTGTACTGTAGATCACAGAACTATTCAACATTCTATGAATTCGTATACTTTCACAATATAATCTAGCTACGACACTTCATATTGAAATTAGCTGTCAGTTGCGCAAGTTCCAAAATTGTAACTCATGCATTTTCCCATATCTTTTACCGGGAGATATTTTTCAGAATATTTCCAAATATAACGAAGGATAACAGTATGCCTCTTAAGTTTCTTTTGGTCATTATCTTGTTTGTATGATTTGAGGGATTTCATTTATCAGTGATTTACACCTGACTAATATTAAGTTTTTGTTGTGTTTATTATTTTAGGTGCTGATACACCTTTTTACTTGGCCACTTTACCTATTGAATCAAAGGAACCAATTAATCAATTCGTTTACGAAAGGAAGGTGGTCAGGTGGTCTAAATGATCTTCAGGCCAATTTTACGTTTCTCAGGAATGTAAACAGAATGTTATTGACTAGTTTTACTATTTCGCAATCTGAATCACAATATTTTCTTGACGTGATTCTTCTACTAATAGTAATTTTTCTTACCTATTATTGCGTTTTCCGTTGGTACCTTACGTGTTATCATAGGATTTATAATTTTATGAGTTTATCTAATTCGTTTCAGTAAGATTCATCCTCATATTAAGAGTTCATTCCGGCCGATGCATATAATTTCAGTGTGTTTTTACGTGGTGTATGTAATTTCTTGACTGTATGTGGTCGTTTGAACGTCTGTATTGCCATTTGAGCAGGATTCGTACTACTTAACGGTATTAATACACAGACGATGCAACCATACAGATCGGCTAATAACCTAATCTTTATGAAACAGATGTCCAACCGTGTTGTTCATCGATCACGTGATATTTTTGAGTTCTTGATTTAGTGACTCGCTTTTAAGGTATGTTATCTTTATTTAGAGTGCGTTTACTATTGTATAACGTGGACCAGGTATGTGTCACGCAAACGTAGAAATCTTACTACAAAGTGATAAAAGCCGTATGGGTCGTACGATCAGTGGGTGAGCACGAGAAGTGCTTATCTAAGAAAATACAAGATACATTATCTTCTGTTTGTAACTGCCATCTTTTGTGTTATAAATATAAATTTTCACAACCAGACTAACATCACGAAGGCACCAACTACTGGTTGGGTTGACACAAGCCATTATCCCCCCTATGAGTTGAGTGATGCTGTACCCCATCGCCAAATCTGGCAAGAGTACAGATATTTCAGTTACTTCCAACTATTTCCCATAAGGAGTATTTTCAGAGAGAATCCTCCTATTGTTCAAGCAGTACTAAACTTTTGGAAGCTGAAAATTGTGTGCTTTCTATACGAGTACTAGTTTCCGATAAATACGTGCTATGTGGATGGCCACGGTCTCAGTTATGCAATTTTATATGCTTACTCAGATTCGTTCTACTTATACCATTCACACAACTACCTCAGACCTGTTTGTAGATCGATCTCGTCGGGGGAGTTGAAAGAGTAATAAAATTTGTCTCCCTTTTCGACTGAACTGGTGAACTGGAACAGTTGAGGGGAGGTTTACGTATGGCTCCTCTCGTTTTCAATGGTAAGCTTGGCGCTAGCTGTCTTTAACAAACTCTCAGAACACGGTCTTTTCTCGATATCAAGAAACTCAACTATAACTAGTGTCTTATGAGTATCCCTGTGTTACAGGATTTAATAGGGGGTGAGGATGTAATTCAATCAAGACCTGGAAAGATTGATTTTGTAGTTAGCCTCAAACGTAAATTGACTTGACATTTATTGCCAGTCTTTTGTTTGTATCGATCAGTTGTGGAAAGTAGGCTCTCTGACCATACACAAGTTAAATTTAGCGAATGCCACACCAATATCAGAAACATGATTGATGTCCTACGAAAAGTAAAAGCCTTGAGAACACCTGGGTAATCAATTTAATGCTTATTTTGATATATATATATATATATATATATATATATATATATATATATATATATAACAAATTCTCCAAAAGTTTTCCTTACTGTTTGGATTTTGTTTCTTGACTGGTAATCATCATTACATGGACGTTCATCCTGAAAACTCAGGGCTCCAAGTAGCATCACAATATTTCACGAATTATTTTCAATGAGGCAATTCACTGAAAGTCAAAACAAATCACTTATGGTATTGCGGCTTACATCAGAATGCTAATAAACGGAGTTTGCTAAGGGACGTTACTGACAAAGCCAGTTTCTTTTCACATTGTTTAGATCATTTTACCTAGAAAAATGAACTGTTTTGAGGATCCAGTTACTTTGTACTCGCAACACTCTAGTGCGCCAGGTGACGCTAGCGAAGCCTAGTGTCAATACTACATAGAGTTTCGTGGGAACCATCCGATGGAGAGAAAACTTATAGTGCTCCTCCAGAATTGGGAGTTAAGGTTCCTGGTTTAACGAAAAACGGTAATGAAACTTTCGAATGACAGTGAAACTTATCTGTTTCCCGGTTGTGGTGTTTTTACTGACTGATGATTCCTTCGTACTTAAGTTGCGTTATTTCTGGGATTCCTAGCTTTTACTATAATTCAAATATTCCTAATTATCACAGATAACAAACACTGTAATTAGGATTTTATAAAGTTAAATGTTTCTAACGATCGGCAATTTCGAAGGGCATTTCCCACATCTATAGGCGATCATACATCTCTCTTCGTTTGTTTCATGACTTTTTTGCTGACACAGGGAGCACAGAATCCATTCATTCAAATAGTTTGTTATTGATTGTAATTCCTCATACATGATTTGTAGGTCTGTTTAGTGAAACAGGATGTCACTACTGGGATCAAAGAATTTGAAAAGGCTTAAGTTACGTTGCCTTCATTAGTTTCTTCAGAAGATTTTGGTGCTTTACTTAAAGGTTTGATAGCTGTGTGCAATAAAGACAGTGGATGGATTAAAATCTAGCCTATAAAACTATAAGTACAGGATGCTCCAGTCTTTCTTAGTGATATGAATGAATGATGCGAAATTGCATCTTTTTACTTAGTGTGATTTTTGTTCAACATCGTTCCCGTATTTTAATTTCATATGATGTTTATTCAAAGAATATTTGTTTGTTTTTCAGTGTGGTATTTTATTTAGCGTAACACTAATGTGTTCTTTGGTCTTCCTCTTTTCCGTTGGCCTTGAGGATTCCATATAGGGGCTTGTCGTGTGACGCAGTTGGGTGCTTTCCTCAATGTGTGTCCTATCCACTTCCAGCGCTTCTTCCTGATTTCTTCTTCCGCTGTGATCTGGTTTGTTCTCTCTCACAGTAGGTTGTTGCTAATATTGTCCGGCCAACAGATCCGAAGTATTTTGCACAGATAACAGTTGATAAACACCTGTATTTTCTGGATGATAGCTTTCGTAGTTCTTTAGGTATCCGCCCCATACAGTAGAACTGTCTTGACATTTGTATTGAAAATCCTGACCTTGGTGTTGGTTGACAGTTGCTTTGAGTTCCAGATGTTCCTCATTTGTAAATATGCTGCTCTTGCTTTGCCGATCCGCGCCTTCACATCTGCATCAGATCCACCCTGTTCATCAATGATGCTGCCCAAATATGTAAAGGTTTGTACATCTTCCAAATCTTCTCCATCAATTGTGACTGGATTGGTGCATGCTGTGTTGTATCGAAGAATCTTGCTTTTCCCTTTGTGTATATTGAGACCTATTGCTGCTGAGGCTGCTGCTACACTGGTCGTCTTCTCCTGCATTTGTTGTTGCGTTTGCGATAGGAAGGTCGGATCATCTGCGGAGTCTAGATCGTCCAGCTACATCCTAGATGTCCATTTTATCCCGCGTTTCTCGTCAGATGTTGATGTCTTCATGATCCAGTCGATCACCAGGAGAAAGAAAAGGGTGAGAGTAAGCAACCTTGCCTGACACCGGTCTTCATCTCGAACGACTTTGTCAACTGTCCTCCATGCACGATTTTGCAGATTAATCCATCATACGAATTCTGTATGATATTGACTATCTTCTGAGGCACGCCGTAGTGTCGAAGAAGTTTCCATAGTGTTGTTCTGTCCACGCTATCAAATGCCTTTTCGTAGTCAATGAAGTTGATGTACAGTGATGAATTCCATTCAATTGATTGTTCCACAATTATCCGTAGAGTTGCGATTTGGTCTGTACACGATCTATCCTTACGGAATCCTGCCTGTTGGTATCGCAGTTGGGCATCTACGGAGTCCTTTATTCTGTTTAACAATACCTTGTTGAAGACTTTTCCTGGCATTGAGAGAAGAGTGATGTCCCTGTAGTTATCACAGTTGTTGAGATCGCCTTTCTTTTGTATTTTGACCAGAAGTCCTTCTTTCCAGTCTTTTGGTACTTTTTCCTCATCCCAAATCTTATTGAAGAGAATGCGGAGTATCCTTGCAGTTACCGCTACGTCTGCTTTTAGTGATTCTGCTGGAATGTTGTCTGGTCCTGCTGCTTTGCCACTCTTGATTTGTCTGATGGCCATGCTGATTTCTTCAATTGTTAGTGGGCCAACATTGTTTGGGAGGTCCGTGGGTGCTGCTTCGATGGTGGGTGGGTTCAGTGGAGCTGGTCGATTCAAGAGTTCTTTGAAGTGTTCTACCCACCTATTTTCTTGTTTTTCAGTGTTGGTGATAACCTTGCCTTCCTTGATTTTCACTGGTCGCTCCGGTTTACGGTGATTTCCAGAGAGTTTCTTTGTTGTGTCATACAGTTGTTTCATGTTTCCTTCTCTTGCAGCCTTTTCCGCCGTCATTGCTAAATCTTCCACATATTTACGTTTGTCGGTTCTGATGCTCCTCTTCACTTGTTTGTTTATTTCCGTGTATTCAGCTTGTGCCTTAGCTTTTTCTGCTCTTGTTCGGCTGGTATTGATCGCTGCCTTCTTGTTCCCTCTTTCTTGAATCTTATCCAGTGTATCAACAGTGATCCATTCCTTGTGGTGGTGCTTCTTGTGACCCAGGACCTCATGACATGTTGAAGTGATTGCCTCTTTGATCCCCTTCCAGTTGCTCTCCACAGTAGTTCCTTCTCCATTGAGTAGATCATGAAAGGCCTGGAACTTGTTGCTGAGGACTATCTTGAATTTGTTGAGTTTGTTAGTATCCTGAAGAAAGGTCGTATTGAACTTTCGTGATATTGTCTGCCCCGTTGTCCAGTGCTTCTTGAGTTTCAATTTCATCTTGGCGACCAGTAAGTGATGATCTAATGCTATATCAGCTCCTCTCTTGGTTCTCACGTCTTCCATTGTCCTACTGAACTTTTTGTTGATGCAAATATGGTCGATTTGGTTTTGTGTAGAGTGATCCGGTGAAGTCCATGTGGTTTTGTGTATGCGTTTATGTGGGAATATGGTGCCGCCTATGACCAGTTTATTGAAGGCACATAGGTTTGCAAATTTCTCACCATTTTCGTTTCTTTCTCCCAGTCCGTGTCGTCCCATGATGTCTTCATATCCAGTGTTGTCCGTTCCAACCTTGGCGTTGAAATCTCCCATCAGAATGGTCAGGTCCTTTGTTGGGCACTTCTCGACTATTGACTGCAGCCTATCGTAGAATTGATCTTTAGCGTCTTCATTGTAGTCGTTGGTAGGCGCATAGCATTGGATGATGTTCATTGAAATGCCCTCTTTCTTTGTTTTGAACGAGGCTTTGATGATCCTTGGTCCATGAGATTCCCATCCTATAAGCGCATTTTGCGCTTGTTTGGACAGCATCAATGCAACTCCTTGTGTATGTGGTGAATTTTCTTCTTCATGGCCGGAGTATAACAGGAGCTCTACTGTAGTTAGTCGTTGTTGTCCAACTTGTGTCCAATGTGTTTCACTGATCCCAAGTACCTCTAGGTTGTATCTTCTCATTTCTGCAGCAATCTCGAAGGCTCTTCCAGTGTCCCACATTGTACGAACATTCCATGTACCTAAATAAATGGTCGCTCTGGTTGTCAGAAGGGGCATCAGCCTCGTAACTTCCGAAGGGATTCGGCTTTCATCATGAGGTGTCATAATTCTTCTAAATGAAGATCTTCTGACTCCCAGGGCAGAGTTTAAAAGGTTTGAATAATTTTTTCTGGTTAGCGTCTTTTTAGCGAGTTAGTTTTCTACGGGATGTGGACGCTGATCCCATGCCCAACCCTCCTCTTTTGTCCGAGCTTGGGACCGGCAGTAGCCCTCGGAGGGACTCCAGGCGAAGTTAGCAGTAAATAAATCCTTAAAATAAGTGGTTCTGTAAGTCCTCGACATTGGGTGCTGACCATTTTAGTTTTATTGAACTCACTTAACTGAAGGTGCTCGGTCATGCATCCATATCAGATCACGAGTGGGACCGCCGTGCTCAACAACCTCTATAATCGCCAGCCAGTCTAGATCAGTCAACCCTCGATATATTGATAACCTATCAAATATATTTTCGAATGCCCTCGCTTCCGACTTGTGATTTCAGTTGGTGGGTACGATTCAAATTAGAGGTTGTTACTGGTTAGAGCGTTGTCAAGCTCCAAATACCT